TGATTCTTCCTGCTCGTTTTCTTTTCTCCTCCCAGCCCCACCCCAAGGCCTGACCCAATCAGGGAGCTGCACTAACTACTAACAACAGCCCAGGCGCAGCCTGGGGTCCCCAAATCCTCACAGGAAACCCATCCCCCAGCCAGAGGAACCAGGATGAGATGTCCCTCTGGCCTGAACAGTGACAGTGTGGGGAATCCCTGTTCTTTTTCAAATCTCATTTCTCTGAAGCAGAGCTCTGCTGCAGTGCAGAGGACGCACACGTCAGATTGAAGACCCAAGACCTGGGAACATTAGTTTTCACATTATTTGTCGCCCATCATCTAATATTATAGAACACAAGCAACTGGAAATAAAACCTTTCCTAACTTGCTCCACCCCGATCAGACAAATGCAGGTGCCACCTGCAGGCTCCTTGTCCAGCTGTGTGGTTGGGTGATTCTGGGCCAACCCCAGAGATGGAGGCAGCATGGCCTCTGAGCATGGAGCTGGAGGAGCTCAGAAACACGGGAGAGCCCGGGGAGCTCGCTGGCCACGTCCCACGTCCCACTGGCATGTATTGGTCAACTATACTTGTCATTGGGCTTTCAGCGCTCATTAGGACTTTTGCTTGGAGTCTCAACCTTTCCTCTCTTGCTTAAAAACTTTCGGGGGCTCCCCATGGGCTTTAGAATAAGACCCCATTGCTCTCCGGCCTCAAAGGACTTGCAGGATCCGGCCCTTCCTCGGCCACTGGCCTCGGACTCACTTCTACCCCCGCCAGCGGGTTCTCAGACTAAGCCATGCTCCTTCATCAGGGCTGCCAGGTTTTGTCTGAAATGCCAACTTCTACTCCTCCCTACGCTGTCAGCCTCCTCTGACTCCCAGGCTAGAACGTCCACTTACGTGCCCAGCGTCGCATCTGTACAGCCATCTGCACCGACCTGGGAGTCTTGGGCCCCATCATTTGCTCACGTGGGTTCTGTGGGTCAGGAATTCCACTGCAGCTTAGCTCAGTGGTTCTGACTCGGGACTCTCTCGAGGTGGCAGTCAGGGTGTCGGCCAGGGCTGTACCACCTGAAAGGTGGACTGGGGCTGGAGGGACCGCTTCCAAAATGGCGCCCCACTGCCCCTGATGGCGCTGCTGCTGGCTGTTGGCGGGAGGCCGCAGCTCGCCCCCATGTGGATCTCTCCTCACAGACCTCTCCCCACATTCTTGAGTGCCCTCCAGTGTGGCAGCTGGCTTCCCCCAGAGCAAATGATACTAGAGAGAGCGCCTGGCCTCCGCCGTCATCTCCACGCTACCCAGGTGCTTACACATCGGCCCTGTTCACTGTAGGAGGGGACTAGGTGAGTATGAGAGTACTAGGAGGGACCAGTGACCCTGTGTCTGTGAGAGCTCAATTAAAGAAACAGAACCACTGTGAAAAATATATTGGTTTCAGGACTGGCCTTACGCAGTGGAGTTGGTTAAACGCCCGTTAGACTGTCATCATCACGTCTGATGCTGGAGCTTGAAGTCAGCAGGCAGTTGGGGAAGGAAGAGGGGTGTCAAGCGGGACAGCAAGGCCACGCTGGGATCTGTGGTGGCGGCTGGAACCATGCCAGCCTGCTTGGAGATGTGGGTATCCCACAGGAGACGATGGTGCCTTGTCGTGAAGCTGAACACCCGCTTGGCCCCAGCACTGGAGGAGCTGAAGAATGACACGGGGAGGAGGCCCCAGCTGCTGGCCTGGCGGCTGCCTCTCACCAACAAGTGGGCAGGGGAGTGACAACAGGCGTGGCTTATAAGCGCTTGGTGCCTCTGTCCCCGCCGTCAGAGCCTATGAACAGCTTGCTGCTTTCTTTTCTGGCCTCCAAATCTCAGTCTCTTGTGGCCCATCCTGAAGAAAACACGCAGGGGATTCTGGGAAGTCAGCCTACCCAAAGTGACAACGTACAAGCTGCAGTGGGACTGAATGTTCCCCACCCCCACCCCCGCCCCACCAGCCCATATGTTGAAAGCCTACCCTCCAAGGTGATCGTATCTGGGGCACCTGGGAGGTGATGAGGTTGTGAGGGTGCGGCCCTCGTGAATGGGGTTCGTGCCCTAATGAAGAGGCCCCAGAGGCTCCCTCATCCTTCTGCCATGTGAGGACACAGAAGACGACCGTCACCAGGCACGGAACCTGCTGGCGCCTGATCTTGGACTTCCAGCCTCCAGAACTGAGAGAAATAAGTCCTTGTTGTTTATAAGCCACCCGGCCGGTGGTATTTTGTTATAACAGTCAGAACAGGTTAAGGCTTCTAGCCTCTTCCTCTCCAGAACCTCGGGGATTGGGGCCTGAATTTTAGAATTGATTGGCGGAAAGAATCAGAAGAGAACTCAAACCCCAAGTACAGTTTTCAGGAAGAGGACGTGCAGCTGATGGGGGCAGTGACTTGGCCGCGGCCAGTGGCGGCAGCGGCGCTAAGGCAGGCCTGCCTCTTCCCGGGCTCCCACCAGCTCCCTTCCTCGGCTTCTGCAGCTGGCGGGGCTTGCCGGCACCTATTCTAGTGGTTGTAAGCAGGGACTCTTGAGTCACGAGAACTACACCTTTCCTAGTTCTTAGCTTCCTCACGCAGGGCAAGTCACATCACCGATATGCCCCTGTATTCTAAAATCTATACAATGGCGATGGTACGAGTCTGTACATCGTGGGCTTGCGGGGAGAACTCAGACACCATGGACGGGAGTGCAGAGGCCAGCAGGCTCACAGCAGCACGCACAGGGGGCTGCCTCCCACGGCTGCCAAACACCCCGTCCATCTGTGGGCACCTTTTCTGCCATGTGACTTGGCAAATGCCTTGTGTACAGGACAGGGTGACAGGAACTCAGGTCCTTTATAAGAGTGATGCAGCGATCCCCGGTGCACAGACTGTCTTTATGGTGCTGCACAACACTATAAATTCTACTTAAGCTGAAGCTAAATTTTCATTTTCTCCCTGAATTATTTACTCCGCAATGAATGGTGAAACCCAGGAGGGGGTGGTGACTGTGTGTTGAGTTGGTCAGGAGTGACTTAAAAAAATTGCTCTAGCTGCAGCAGCAACGAATCCCGCAAATGAAATGGCTGTCTCAGGCCACCCGTCTCTCCTCAGGTCACTGGTGAGTTTATGACGCCCCTGACTCCTGAACAGGCCACTTTACCCTCCCAGGTAATGTGTGTGCATGCACGGAATGAGCACGCGCTCGGGCACTGTCTGCCTGCTCACCTTCGCTCACCTGGGGAGTGAGACACCGAGGCCTGGGGACACGCCTGGTGTGGGAAAGGCTCAGGACACTACCCGAGTCACCGCTTTTAGAAGTCACCTTCCACGTCCGTACCCACCAGCAATTCGCCTGGCCTGGACATCTACACCCTGGCCCTCCATCACTGCCCCGGGGGCTCCTTTCATGGGTCACTGTTCATTTGCCCCTCCTCCGTCATCCTTCTCCAGTCTCAGCCGAATGGTGAACAGGTACACCTGTTGGACCAAACTTCACCACCTACCACCACCATGGTTGTCCACAAGGCACCTCATCACTTTAAGGGTAAGGTTCCGGAGAGAGCTGGGAAGCAAGGAAAGGTGGGGTGGGGGCTGGATAATAAGCCCGGCAAAAACAAACCCTTACCAAACAAATCCAATGGCAGACCCAATGGGTAATCTTCTAAGTATACTGTACCTTAGGTTCAATAATATAGAATTCCTAACCCATGTCAGTTTTGTTTCCACTTTTTAATTCTGCCATTTTTCCTTAAAATTTAGGTTGTAACAAAGACAGCAGACCTATGTTTGCCAAATCCCAGCCATGAATTCAGAGCATAGAGTCAAAACTAGAGCAAAAAATTATCAGTGTGCACAACTTTAGAAAATAGTTTAGTACATTTTTGTTATAAAACATCTGAAGAATATTCACATGTACTTATCAAATTTGCTCCTGATAATACATGAAAACAGAACTAAATAAACCGTACACAATAAATCCCAGGTAAATTATATAAAAAGAAACAAAATAAAGAAAAATGGGGGCCGGCCAAGTGGCTCAGTTGGTTAAGAGTTTGCTCAAGAGTTTGAGCGCTGAGCAACAGTGGTTCGAGTCCAGCCCGAGCTGAGCAGCCGCTGAGCTGCCAATAGGTGGCAGGATGGCTCGGCTAAAAAAAAAAAAAAAAGAAAAAAGAAAAAAATGTATTCGTGTTGGAAGAACGAATACTGAAAGACAGGGCACTTTCTTACAGCGCCATGGCAAAGATAAAGCCAACTGCCACTTGTCACCTTGCAGCAGGATTAACTACCAATCAATGACACTGCTATGACAGCCACATGGAGAAAGGCCACATTTACGTATGCAATGCTTTATGCAAATACTTTTACCAACCAGAATAACAAACAGTTTCAAATGCAAGGTCAGGTATGCCTGAACTCTGCTAGGAGGGGCTGAGGGACGCAGGCTCGCCCCTGAGAAAGGGTTCTGCAGCCTCCTCCTAATTCTTGCATAATCGGACCAGATGAACCAAAAGGTGAACATAACGAGAACAGGCATCAGACTTATCCGGAAATCAGACTGGCCGGTGCTGCCTGAGTGGAGTGGGGGCAAGGCCTGGCCCCAACTGCTTTTGTCACGCCTCCTTTACAAGCTTACAGTTTTTAGACTACACTGTCACCACTCCAAGTATCTGCTAAACTGAGCATTTACCAAGAGTGGGAAAGTAAACTGAAAGTAACATGAGCTTTCCTGCCGGAGGCACATGCAGGAAGCTCCGGGACCGCTGAGCCCTGCACTTCCTCATACAACGTGGCCAAGGACCAAGTCTCCACCCACCAACTGGGCGCACATCTGACTGACAGGGGTGACACACGTGCTCCCGCAGCATCAGTGAGAGGGACACGGGCAGTGAAGAAGTAGGATGTAGAAACTTTTGGCAACCAGGCGCTTCCTTTGAGCTCTTGCAAACCTGCTTCCCTAGGACTCACACCAAGCCCTTTTTGTTTAAAAAGCCAAGGACAAAGAAAATTTCAAATGGCGCACGTTCACCTTTGGGGTTTGCTTTCCCCCCCGAAGTAGCTCAGCGGCTGCATGGCCTTCGCCACAGAGCTGGTTCTGCCGACTGCCACTCACATGTGCGTGTGCGCGTTTGGAGAGCTGGACTCTGAGATGGCAGCGCCTCCCTCGTCCCAGTCTGGAAGCCCCGCTCCCCATGGCCATGCTCCTTTCACAAAAGCACAGTCCCCTCGAGAAAAGCAGTGTTTCCATCGGGGAAGATGGCTTCTGGTGACCACAGGGAGCCTGTCAGCTCTCTCCCGGGTGCTCAACTCTGAACATTCGCCCTTCTCTTTTCAAAGGGTGTTTCTTTCCTGCCTTTATAAAATCCCATGTCCGGCCTGCCCTCGTGGTTCCCAGGCTGCCTGGTAGCCAGAATCCCTTGGGAAGATGTTGAACATGGAGATTGCCAGGCTCTACCTGAAACTAATGAATGAGCTGGGATCTCCTGCCCAAAGGCCGGCTTTCACAGGCAAACCGAGGGGCTTCGTACACCGGCACAGGGCAACCACTGGGCTTGTCAGTAACCCGCCAGTTACAGGCAGCTTACAGTTTGCTGGGGGCACGTGAATGAGAATTCAAGAGCTACTCTTTCATTGCACCGCCTTCTGTTTCAAGAATGAGAATTGTAGCTAGAGAGCTACATGCTTACTACGATAGGTGGACATGCGCATCGAGCCCGTTGCCAAGGTCTAAGTTAGTGCATCAGCAGAACTTGACCTAACATCACTGCTTCCTACTTTCCCCCAGGACACTCCCATTGTTTTCTTAAATGGAACCAGAGACGCCTGAGCCGCCAGCATCCACTGGGCTGTTAAGAGGTCTGGCTCGCAGGAACATTGGCTAAAAGGACCTGTCTTCCTCCTGGTTTTGTCTTTTTAGATATAGTTTGTTCTGGTGAAAATGATTAACATTTTAAGCAGAGGAAAGAAAAGCAATTGAGTAGATTACATTTTAAAAGGATTATGTGCTATACAAATATACACTTCAGCTTTTAAACATTCACTTGGGTCTGACTTAAATGTCACAGGAGAACAGAGATCACCAAGCGCACGTCTGGGACTCCAGGCCACTGCGTCCTCTCAAGAGTGTTTGCAACTGATTTAGGGGGAAAAAATACTGAAGACGACCAACAGGCCGAGGGGTTAGGACACATTTCCCACGTTTTCCAACAGCACACAAACTCCTTTAAGGAAGAAAATCATCTTATCTGGGTAGTCCTATTAACCCGTCACCTTCATTTGCGACCATGCTTGTGGCCGACAGTCCACATCACCTGGCTGTACTACAAAAACTTTATTTTCTTTGAACTACTGCTGTCCTCCTTGTCCGGGGCTCTGCTGTCCCAGCTAGAGTTCCTCTTGGGGGGCTGGCTCCACCTCTCCCGATCCCCTTCACTGAGGGCCCTGGTGTCTCTTCTGTGGCTGTGCTCCCCTTCCTGGTCACATTTTCTTGGATCTGTGGAGGCGCCTGTGCTAACAGCTGGATGGTCACACGGCCCGGGAGGCCTGTGGCTGCTCCCTGTGGCAGGAGACGGCTCCACGGGGCTGCCCAGCGCCTGGGGACTCACAGGGAAGCCTGGCTCTCCTGAGGGCGGTGTTGATCCCGGATGCTGGGGGCTCGAGGGCTGTGGATCCCTGAGACACCTCGCTGTGGCTTCAGGGTTCAGGCCCAGCCTCCTCAGCAGCCGTGGGTCCCGGAGCTGGTCCCTACCAGGAGGCCTTTCAGGGTCCTTTGCAGCGGCAGAATCGGTAGCTTCCTTGGAGTCCGAGGGAGTGTGGCACAGGGAAGAAGTGAAGGATGCCTTGGCAAGCTCCATGTCTGGCTTGTTGCTGGGCAGGCCGCCCGGGGACCTGGGCACCTCTGGGTGTGTGGTGGGCGGGTGAGTCAGGCTTCTCTGGAGCACGGGCTTCAGCTTCAGTATCTTCATGGCGTCGTGTTTATAGTTTTTGTCACAGGTCCTGATAATGGCGCCCCGCTTCTGGGCATCCTGAATCAGGTGATTCCAATGCTGATTTTCCTTGAAACAAGGAGAAAGGAGAAAGAATTACACTCCAAAGAAACACTCAGATTCTTGGGCAGCATGAAGCTCCAGCTGCATTTCTGAACAAACGAGACCCAGATGTTCACGAGGAGGTTCGCAAGAACCATTACCTTGTTAGACGGGGCTGAGAGGAAAAGGAAGAGGGCAGAGTGACAAAGCCACGTCACTAGAAAAGCCACCAGCTATAAGGAAGCGTTTCCGCCATTTGGACCACGTGTGCACCGGCCTGTGCAGCCTTGTCACTACTTACATTCCAATTAATTCAAATGAAACAGAATTAAATTTTCAGTTGCGGTAGCCACTCTGCAGGTGCTCAGAGGCCACATGTGACCAGTGGTCGGTGTCCAGGCCGGAGCAGGCCCGTCAGCCCAGAAGACTCCCCGAGCGTGCTCAGCTAGTCTTGCCTGCCTCGGAAGGCCAACCTTCTGGGACAGGGAGGCTTGGCTCAGAAAGCCCTAACTTTTGAGTGCACGTGACTGTTCCAGAAAAAGGGTCAGAGTCTTTCATCCAATTCTCGAAGGCTCCCAAACGCCAAAGGGCTGACCCGTGGGCTGCCATCCCACGGGGAGGAGTGGAGGAGGGGCGGCAGTGAGGCCACCCACTAGCATGTCCTTGCTGTGTGACCACATCACCTGACTTTTCTGAGCCTGTTTCCTCATCTGTCAAACAGGAATGTTTTATTTAATTGATTCTGAAAGCACACCATCTTCCCATCTCTGAATGTGGGGAGGCTCTTGGCCGGGAGCAGTTTATGACCTTAATCCTGGAGATTTCATGACCAGACAACTATAACCCCCTGACTTTTAGCCAATAAGACATTAAAAAAGAAATGCATCTCAGCTCTTGCCTGAAAACCTGCCCACAGGCATCTTCTGATGAGACAAGAAAAGTACCAGCATTAAGACTTGGAGAATGGAGATGGGTTGGAAGAAAAACCAGGAGACCATGCTGGGGCACAGGGGACGCATGTGCATGCACAGGGACACGTGTCCTTGAGCTGGACATAATTAAGCAGTGCTACATACTGAAATTGAAATACTTTTAGGAGTACCTTAACCTCTTCGTTTTATCTGTATTTTCTTTTATGTATGAGCACAAGTGACAGGATGAAATCTGTCTAAACAAGTCTGAGAGAGTTCTTTCGATAAATAAATATAAAACAAAAATTCTAGGTGAAAATGTGTCATGTCACTACTGTTTGACGATAGCACATAAAATGATGATGCACATTATAATTAATGGCTACTGGAATTTGATAAACTATGGTGACAACGGTGGCATCATGTGGTTTTTGTTAGGCTTAAAGGAAGTCACATAAATAAAGTACAGTGACTGGCACACACCAGGCAGTCCCACGGAAGCAGCGCCAGCCCCACGGCCCGCCCGCATCTCCGCCTCACTCAGAAAGCTCTGCAGAGTCCTACCCTGTGGCTGGAACACAGAAGGGAAGCACACAGCCCTGCTGCCATTTCTGCCATGTCCACTGCACCTGAACTTGGTGTTGAACTCAATCCTGAGATCACACAAACAGCTTTAAGAAGTGCTGTTAGGGGCCGGCCGAGTGGCGCGATGGTTAAGAACTGGCTTGGGACGCCAGAAGGCCCCGGTTCGGATCCCACACATGAGGGCCAGTGACACTGCTCTCTACAGCTAAGATGCTGAACAACAGCTCAACCTGGAGCTGGGCTGCCGTGAGTTGCCGGCGACGGCGTAGGCTGCAGCCCCTGTGGCAGTGGGTTGCCATGGGCTACCATGTGTAGTCAGCAGCCAGCGTGAGCAGCCAGCAGCTGCAGTGAGCGGCCTTCCAGAAGCCGGCTACTGATCTGCCTTGCCCAGGAAGAGCACAATGATGGTGCCAACTTGGGCCAGTGAAGCAACGTCCTCCACAACTAGACTAAAGAACAAAACGACAGCAACTTGTCTGTTCCCCTTCCCCCCAATTCCCCAATAAAAATCTTTAAAAAAAAAAGAAAGAAGTGCTGTTAGTCTTGGTTTCTCAGAGGAAACCAAATGCCTTAATCGTTGATCCCATTTCCGTAAGGGAAACTGAGCTAAAGAACCACCCACCCCTCCCACCACCCCCAAAAGCTCCAAGGACAATAAAAGTAAGTGTGAAAGCCCAAGTGATAAACCGGGAGTTTTTCTGTTCTATTCTTTGTCTCTTTTCGGAGCCTGGGTTCCTAGAGCTAAGCGAGTGTCATAGCTAGGGTAGCAATGTAGTCTGGGGGCTCACAAAGACTTTCTAAGGAGCACGCAGAACAGCGAACGGAAACCAATTTTCAACTTCCAAACCAGCTTCCTATGTCCTCCTGGGGCTTTCTTGCCCCTCCACTCCATCCTTCAGTCACAAAGACACTGGTCCATCCCAAATCTGACCATAGGGGGTGCTGTCAGGGCGCATAAAACTCCTGGGAGCCAAAGGAAGGGGGCAGGAAAAACAGGGGCACCCACAGGGCTCCTGTAATCAGGGCACCACCGAGAGACACAGCTCTAGTAACAGTCTCCTTTCAGGTTTAAACATTATCAAAACTCAACTGTGTAAAAATAATAATTGTAATAGATTATTCAAGTGACAGGTAATTTTTTAATACTCAAGTCCTTATGGTCACAGGAAAAATAATTTAAAAAAGCTTTTATAAAATAAAATAAAATAAATACAATAAAAAACGTTTTATTTTGAGGTGACTATAGATTGACATGAAGTTGCACAAAAAGGCAGAGAGGTTCCCTTCACACAATCTCCCCAAATCGTTATGAAAAACAATTTTTTAAACTTTCAATTTATATATAAATTTTTATAGCAAAGAAGCATAATAGTGAGCTTAACAGAAAGGCTTTTAATCATAAAAATATATTACCCCACTGAATTTTATTCTCAACAAGTATGAAGGGAAGCTCAACTTCAAAGAGCAGAAAGAATAATAGTGACCTCTATTCCACTGGATGCATTTAAGAGTGATGTAGTAATTTATTTTTGAAAGCTTTATTTTGTGAATTAAAGACTTAAATGTAAGACCTGAAACCAAAAAAGTCCTAGAAGAAAACATAGGTAGTAAACTCTCTAACATTGTTCTTAGTAACATTTTTTCTGATCTATCTCCTGGGGCAAGGGAAAAGAAAAAATAAACAAATGGAACTACTTCAAACTAAGAAGTTTTTGCACAGCAAAGGAAACCATCAACAAAACGGAACGAAATCCACTGCATGGGAGAAGATATTCACCAATGACACAACCAATAAGGGGTTAATATCCAAACTATATAAAGAATTCATGCAACTTAACACCCAAAAAAACTAAGAATCCAATTAAAAAATGGGCAGAGGACTTGAATAGATATTTCTCCAAAGAGGACATAGAGATGGCCAACAGATATGTGAAAAAATGCTCAATATCACTAATCATCAGAGAAATGCAAATAAAAACCACAAGGAGATGTCACCCCCACACCTGTCAGAATAGCTATCATCAATAAATCAACAAACAACAAGCGTTGGCGAGGATGTGGAGAAAAGGGAACCCTGGTGCACTGCTGGTGGGACTGTAAATTGGTGCAGCCACTATGGAAAATGGTTTGGAGGTTCCTCAAAAAATTGAAAATAGAACTAGCATATGACCCAGCAACCCCACTTCTGGATATTTATACTAAGAAATCCAAAACACTAATTTGAAGAGATATATGCATCCCTATGGTCAATGCAGCATTATTTACAATAGCCAAGACAAGGAAGCAACTTAAGTGTCCATCAATAGATAATCGGATAAAGAAGAGGTGGTACATATATACAAGGGAATATTACTTGGCCATAAAAAAGAATGAAATCTTACCATTCGCGACAACATGGATGGACCTACAGAGTATAATTCTAAGTGAAATAAGTCAGACCAAGAAAGACAAATACTACATGATCTCACTTATATGTGGAATCTAAAGAACAAAATAAATGAACAAACATAACAGAAACAGACTCACAGATGCAGGGAACAAACCAGATGGGGGGGGACTGGGGGGCAGGGTAGAAAAAGTGAAGGGACTAAGAAGCACAAATCGGTAATTACAAAACAGTCACGGGGATGTAAAGTAAAGCACAGGGAACATAGTCGATAATATTGTAATTAGTATGTAAGGTGCCAGGTGGGTACTAGACTAGTCAGGGGGAGCACTTCACAAATTACATAAATGTCTATGTAACCACTACGCTGTACACCTGAAACTAATATAAAACAATACGGTATGTCAACTATACATAAAAAATTTTAAAAGGGTGGTGGTGGGGGGGGGGGGAGAAGGAAAATACCTATCCTGACCAGTTGTAGAAACAACCCTGAATAGGCTAATTACCTTTATACTTATATTCTCCTAGTATGGAACTTGGAGATACATCAAGTTTTATTCCTTCTAAAAAAACAATAAAAATAAAAGCTCTATTTCAAATGTCAGTATGTATAATACATTAGAAGCAAAGTCTTTAGCAATACTTAAAAATAGGGGGTACACACAGCTTTTAGAATTCTTCCACAGGGGCACACAAACAAAACCAGAGCCAGCAGGCCTGAGAGCGGCATGAGAAACGCTGCCCTTGGGCGCCCTCTGGTGGCGCTAACCCCAATGGGAAGGGTCTAAGGCAGCGATTCTCAACCTTTCACAGGGGTCGCCTAAGACCATTGGAAAACACATACTTTCGATGGTCTTAGGAACCGAGACACCGCTCCTCTGCCCGTCTCCACGCCCACATGCAGATACGCCCACATACGAGTGCCCGGCGACCCCTGTCGACCCCAAAGGGGTCGCAACCCACAGGTTGAGAACCGCTGGTGTAAGGCGAGGGCTCCTCTCCTAAGCAAACCAATGACTGCCAGGTAGAGAAATGAGAAAACCCCAAAGTTCCTGCCCTGATGAGGCCAGCAGCAAATACAGGCTTTATGTAGCTGTAGAGCTCAGCCAAACCACTGTCTTCCAAAGAGGGGCCCTTCTAGAGGAGCATCTGTCCTGACAGGAGCTCTGAGGCCACTCACTTCCAGCGACAGAAGGAAGCAGCACTGCTCTACATGCTGCAATCGAGACAACCACGCATGCTCTCGCACACGCCCTCTCAGGGGCGTGAGGCTGGGCCTGCAGCAGCCACATTCACTAGTGTTCACGAAGTGCCAGGCACTCTGCAAGCACTTCACCCATATGGATTTTCACATCTTCTGCACAACCCCAGGATGCAGACACAATTTGTTTAAAGGTCACCTTGAGAGCACACGGTGGGCCCTTGGGCCCGGGCTGAGAAAGGGTTAAACGTTTCCTGGTGTATAAAAGCTCCAGGAAGAAGTTGTTGGAGGACATACAACTGGGGGGAGGGGCTCATTACTTAGTGGACACCTGAAGCCATTTCCATGTTGATGGAAAATAAAAACTAAACCCTGGCCCAGTGTCAGTGACAATGGGCAAACCTGTGAGCTCTCTGGTCCCCAAGAATCACCTACCATCAGGGTCCTCAGATGTCCGAGGATGAAGAGGCTGTACTTGGCCCGTGTAATGGTGACATTCAATCTCTGCAAACTTGCCAGAAATCTAGGCAACAAAAAGAGAAAAAAAAGAAAAAGGTACTTCCTTCTACAGAATGACGGAGCCTACCAGTGTTGGTGAGGCACAGGCAGGACTTCTGAGGTTTTCTCGGGCTCCTTCTGCCTCTTTAGAGTCACCGCGCTTTCTCCCTCTCTTCCCAGCACAGGGCGCCTGGCCCAGACGCAATTCCCATTAAAACCAGTAAACAAAACACCTGTGCTTTCGAGTCTGCGACTTCAGGGCATGATTACTACACCAAAGGGACATGAGTGTCTGTCAATTTCCTATTTGGACTTGAATGAGATACCGGAAATTTTAACAGTATGATTTCTAAGCCTTAAAAACATCCTAAAAATATGATACTAGATCAATTATTCTTAAATTTAAATATATTTGAGGTTATTAAAATATTGTGGGTCTAGTACAGAAATATACAACATTAGACATGTAACAATTGATCAGAGAAGAGCTCTGAAATCATAGAATTGGCGTATGATAACGGTTAAATGGCAAATGAGTTGGAAAAGAATGGACTATTTTACAAAGTCGTCCTGATAACTGGCCCCATTTGCATATGCAAACTAACTCTAGGTAGGGGCAGAGATAACTAAATTACTGTTTTCTTTTAAGAACAATGAAACATATTTACAGTCTGTAAATTCGATCTGCTACTCCTGAGAAGAAAAAAAATCTCAGGGCCCTGAGCCTCAGGGAGTTTTCTGTCACCCATTACCTTGTCCTTAGCATCTTCAGTAAATACTCACAGTAGTTAAGGTGAACCAACTTAGCCAAAGCAGAAAACAGAGAGAGAGGAGGAAAAACCACTTCATGACACATCCCACGGGAGAGTAACACACCCCTGCAAAGTACACTTGATCCAATGATTTATTTCACTCTTATTAAAGAACAGATTCACACCGTGACATGGGTTAATATACAAGGTATCAAGAGAGGCAGACCTAACAGTGGATCAATTTCACAACTTAAAAAATCAATTACAGTTACTCACCCGATTGAGCCTTGCATGGAATTTGCTCTGACACACGTAACAATGACACAATCTTTCTGCCGTCCCTGGAATGCATCCACAGTATCTACTTCTGCCGGCCTGCTTATAAAAGAGAGACATATTTACTGGAAAAAGTAAGATAATTGTGAAACATACATGTTTATATAGTACTATTTTTCAGAAACTTTTTTCATGGTCTCTTTATTTACTGAAATATAATTCACATAACACAAACTTCACCACTGCACAGCACATCGCTCAGTGGTTTTTGTCTTCGCTAGGTTGCGCAGCCATCCATCATCACTATAGAACTTCACAACATTTCAATCGCCCAAAAGAGAAACCCCGTGCCCCTTAGCCGTCAGTCTCAATTTCCCCTTCTCCCCAGGCCCTGACAACCACTAACCTACTTTCTATTCTGGAAACTTCATCTATATGGAATCACAAAACATGTGGCCTTTTGTGTTTGGCTTCTCTCAGGAGTGTTGTCAAGGTTCATCTATGTTGCAGCGCGGATCGGCACTGCATCCCTCTTATGACCAAATAGATGCTGGTACTGGTATACCAACATTTATCGATCCATTTACAAAACCTGGTCCTCGGTTTTTCTTCATTGGGAAGTGTTTGATTACTAACTCCATCTCTACTTTTTATAGGTCCGTTTAAATGTTCTTTTCTAAAGTCAATTTTGGTTGTTTGTGTGTTTCTGAGTTAATGGATTTCCAATATTTAAACTTTAATTTTACTGTTGAGGTAAAAATGACAAAAACATGATCTTCACCCTATACACAAAGACACTAAAAGGGTTCAATTATTCTAAATGAAAAAGTGACTTCTCGCTCGAGTTAGAATTCACATTAACAAGTCATGGAACTAAAGGGAAAGGCCTGGAGTTTCTCCATTAATTCCACTGTCAAGTGTAATGGTGATGACATTCCAGCTGGCAGGAGGCACTGTGTCCATGGGGCGACAACAGCACCCGTTCCCTACCCAGCTCGCGTCTACGGGCCGTGTCCTTGCCTCTCCGTGCTATCTATCTTGCCAGGGCCTCAAACCACTCCCTAGAGTCTCCTTTTCTTCTTTCCTGTGATCCCCGCTTTCTTCTCTGTAATTCAACAGAGACACTGGCAATGTCTGTAACGATATAGACGGCTTACCCTTTTCCATCAAATTCTTTGTCCAGCTCCTTCTGAATCATCATCTTCTGGGCCTTGTAATGGGTTATGATACCAATTTTTCGGGAAGTAACATCCCTTTTTTCTTTAATAAGTTTAATGATCTCCATTACCAGTTTTATTTCTTGAACATTTACATATGAGCTAAATAAGACGGGAAAAAAAAACACATCAAAATGAATAGCAGTCTAGTTGCTCACTTAAGTCCCACTTTGTTTTCCATTAAAGGGCAGGTAGGTTCCATCGCTACTCAGTCAGCAGCGACTCAGAGGCTGAGCATTAATACGGTCCACATGAATAGAGATAGCTGCCTGGTGAAATGTGAAGTTGTAAGAGAGAAAAAAGTTCACAGTCAGCTGAAGTTTAAGCACCAGTTTCTTAAACATGTTAAAACAGGGACAGCAATCATAAGAACAAAGTGTAATAATGAAGATATGAATAATAATAGCTACCATTAAGGATTTGCTATCTCCCAAACACTGAGAAAAGTGCTTTACATGGATTATCTTTCTTACTCGCCCACCAGGGCCGAGCCGATCACGCACCACACAGCCGACAGGATGCCATCCACACGGCTAACATGCTGCGCGCCCGAGAGGAACAATGCGAGGCCCTGCAGCAGGCCCAGGTCCTCACTGACCTCCTTGCTGGCCCCATCCTGCACTCCAAGTCCCCTCCCAAACCACAGTGTCCTCACCCACAGCAGGCCACAGGCACTGGGGCTGCACTACTGCAGCTTCCCTTTAAGAATCTTAAGTACCCACCATCCTAACTTCAAGTCTTACCATACAGACGGCCCCGTTAGCTAGCTCTCTCTTCCACCCTTGGAATCTTTCTTTTGCTTGGTCACCTCCACCCCCACTTCAATGCCCTGCTCCGAGCCGGCAGGCCCCACTGTAGCCTTTACAGCCCTTCTGTCATGGCAAACCCCCAGGCAGCTGCTGCTTTGTATTTCTAACTGCTGCACCCCTCCTGACTAATGTCTGAGCATGAGCACACGACACAGGTGGAATGTGTTTCCTCGCACTTCACCGATGGCACAGAGGTGCTGACAAATGCAGCCTCCACACCAGGACTCCTCTTGTCTCACAAGCAGCCCTGGCTCCTTGGAGGTGTTTCCTCACTAGCGACCACCACTCCTCTTTGTTGTCATTCACAGGCTGCCTGAACAATCCAACACACTGCGAGTACTGCCCACCCTCCGTCTCACACCTTGATGCAGCTGAATCTGCACTTGTCCTTCACAGCCCTTAGCCCACCGGGGCAATTCCCTTGGTGGTTACTTGGTCGATGTCCATCTTCCCTGTTCGACCATGATCACCTTGCTCTGGGGCCACATGTTTTACTCAAAGCTATGATCTCAGTATGTATCTATACAGGTGCCTACCAAACGCTAGTTAATGTGATCCCCATTATACATTTAAGAAGAACTAAAAGGTTGAAAGAGAGAGAGAATGATAAAAAAAGAGCTAAGTAAAAATGATTGTGCCCTGGCCCTAGGCAGAGAGATGTGTTACATGCAAAGTGTTTTGAATATAAATATGAACAAAAATAAAATAATTATTCTGGGGTCATCACTGGGGGTTGAAGAAAGAGAACATACTCATTATCCCGTCTTTCTGAACCGTCTCCGACATCAAACACAAGGTAGGGTTGAAACACCCAATCTGATGAACACCGACTGGTCTCAGTCAGCCTACAAAAATGGAGCCAGCATTCAGAATCCAAGTCAAGTTATCAGAAAAAAGTTTAAATTATACATTTTTTTTCTGTAGGGGAGGGAGCTGGGCAAAGTAAGGGGGCAAGAAGAACCTTCTTTATTAAAATGTGCTTTACTGAAAGGTAAAAAACAAATTCTATTTCTATTCTAGTGCTAAGGGGAATGATCTGTGTACTTAAGACATAACAATTGTGATTGAAAAAGTACTCATAACAGAGGAAGTGAAAAGAGCAAGCCATAAAATACTATGTAGAGCATGGTGTGATTTTTAATTTTTTTTAATTAAAGAAAGAAAAAGTAAAATATGCATAGTGCAAGGGCTGGAAGAAGACACACCAAAATGTTACCAGTGATTATTTCTAGGTGGTATAAATATGGGTGGTTTTCCTCCCTTCTTTTTTGCTTATCTACGTTGGCTGCCATCAACATGGCTTTCATAATTAGAGAAAATGATCAAACCTTTGATTTATGCTTCTTATGGTAAGACTTAAGAACACAGTAAAATAGCTATTCTTCCTAGGATGCTAACTGACAAACAAAACCAGCTAACAATCAACGACTAGACCTACCTGTTTGTTTTCAGATTTTTGTTATAAATGTAAGTAGAAGGGAAGAGACAGATGTCCGGGTGCATCCGGTACTGGACGCTGAGCTGGACCACAGGCAGCCTGCCGCTCACACTGTGCTCGACGTTCTCTTCCAGCAGCTTGTAGAAGCGGGCCATCAGTGACTGGTCATAGCCGTACTCCTGCGCCTTCTGCCACGGGCAAAATAAAGCAGCCATCTCTAAGAAATGTGCTGGTACTTCTCCCACTATTATAAAAACAACTACTGAGCTCTGATACGTACATGGCAAGGTTCAGGTGCCATCATCAACAATCAAAGATTCAGAGAAAGAAGCTGTTTGTGACCCTGGCCCTTGAAAAGCCACGCACCTTGACCATAAAAGTTGAGGTATTTTCTCCTTATTTAGAAAACCTACATACTGCTTATGAAAGAGATGTGACCTTGAGAATGGCTGCAACCAAAGCTATTTTGATGCTGTCAGAGGTCACCTGACTCAATGATGTAAGAAGCAAAGAATGTGACACAGATTTTTAACAATTACTTCTGGGGTATGCTCTCAACAAACAGAAATACTCAATGTCATTGTAAACAAGCACTTTTAAAAGACCAACTGCTTTATCCATCCCTCTTGTACACACTGACATATAAAATTTACAGTGTTGGGACTGCTGAGGTAAGATCAAGTCTCACAGAACTTATATTCTAGTGGAGGACACAGACAACTGACTAAGTTCATTTCATAAACCCAAAATAGATTACAACCTGCAATCTGAAAAACAGTCACCTAACTGACAAATGAAGAAAATCGTACGTTATCATGGCTGTGCCTTGGGATAGACTTTTCAAGGTCAGCATCACACCAAAATCCAAAAAGCATTACATCAAATAAGCTAGAAGCAAAAATGTGCTCTGAAAGTGCACGAAGATGATGGAATCTTCTCAAGTAATACTGAGCATGTGTGCAAAATCTGAATAAACCTGTTTCATGAACTGTGAGAGTGGGGAAAAAAAGGCATTTCTTAAAGACTACATCATTTATGAATGTGATTTGAAATAGGTTTGTGCAACTAAATAAAATAAAGATTAGTAACATCTGACAATCTCATTTACATCCCCAAAAGTACGCTACTCAGGTTAGCCAAAACGTCATTTTGCATCTTCTCTCTCTCGGGAAAAAGAAAAGGGACTTCTATGAGGTAACATGTCTACTTCCATAAAAAAGCTGAGTCCACTTTATCGAATGAGGCAGATTTCTACATTCTGACGTGGAAGGACATTCCTGATCTATCTACTGACTTTTGGCCCCGAATGATTCTGCCACCTTAAAACAAAGTCAAGTGTCTCTAGTGAGATTACAAACAACAGGGGAGAGGTTCACAACGGAGGCGCTGCTCTGCCCACGTGCAGAGTTCACAATTGCTTTCCCTTCACGCCCCTTGCACCTTGTGAGGCTGGGGGGGGGGGGGGGGGGGGGGGCCACAGGCACATGTGCACGATAGGACAGGGTTCTAAAAGGGGAAATGGACTCTTTTTAACGCTGTCCTCAAATTGGCACATATTGAAATACCAATCATAGCCTGGGATTCTTTTCCTTGCTTTTAAAGATTTTCCTTTATTATTGTTTTGGTGTTTGTGGTATTAAAATAAATCAGATGCGGCCCTTAAAATAGCTGCATGCTGCCTTTCCCAAAAGAGGCCCAAATGCCCACAGAAGAGGTTCCTTCTAGTCTGCGGGTCTCTTAACACGGCTCCTGTCAACACGTCTACGGAAGCACAGCTGTGAACACAGGGACATTTCAGACACTACTCACACACTGACTGGTGACGCAGACTGGCATCTATATGTTTAAATGCTCCGTCCTCAATTTAAGACTCCAACAGTAGAGTTCTCTTTTCTCAGCCTTTCCCACTTTTCCTTGCAAGTAACATGATAACCCAAGAAAAACGCCCCCACAACTCCAAAAACACAGCCCCAAAGACCCTTAAAGAAACAGGGCAAAACTCACCATAGAAATGACTGTGGGAGGGAGCTGTTTGGGGTCTCCTACCAGGACAAGCTTGTTGCAACGATGGATGAGTGGGGTCAGAGTTTCCACTTCACAAGACTGGCCGGCCTTAGTAAGAAAGCACAGGATGGAGAAACAGTCTGAATTATCTTTGCGATTTAGTCATCCATGTACAGTTTATCTAATTCACAAAAAGAGCAGAACTTTCTCCGTCTGCACCAAGTATCAAAAAAACGATTTTCTTTAGTCAGGAAAACAAACAAACAACAAAAAAAAACACTCAAAAAAACCCCTAGCACACACATATTGTGAAGTCAGCCACCCCTCAGGTGCCACTGACGCTTGGGAACCAGACACAAGCTACTAATTAGGCCACGTAATGTCCCAGGATTGTGGTTCTGAGGATGTGCATGTCAGGGTCTCCACCCAGCCCCACTTCCTTCCTCGGTCCTCGGTAGGCCTTTCAACTCCAAGGTTCAAGCGCCTCTTCAATTCAATGACGTTTTCTTTGAATATTTCATCACTTCCACTTTTTGTATTCTTTCATTTTGGTGAACAACGGGCTTGGATCTCTGGATCAATTCTCTGTCCCTCCCTTGCCGTTTCTTTCGTGCTCTGGCTCCACATTCTAGCAAACAGTAGGTGCCTAACAAATGTTTGCTCAATGAATGAACTAAGAATAAAGGCTCTTAGCTAAAAACACTGTGGCTCAGGGATGTCCAAAGTTATATTCAAATGCTTCGAAAGGTTAACAGAAACATTCTGAGCAGAAGCTAGGTAGGTAACTCTTGGAAGGAATCTGGGGAGGAACCAGCAGGCTTCCTTAAGACTGTAACCCCAATTCTGGAGAAGCAACTGTAGCTGTGGTGAGTCATTAACAGCCCATTTCAACTTGGGACACACACACTCCATCAGGGAAGAATCAAACGCGCAAAGACCACTCTGGCAACACTCGGTGGCCACTGCTCATCTCAGCCTTACAGCACAGTTGGAGTGGCTTACTGACCTCATCGACAATGACACAACTGAAGGGGACACCTCCTTGCGCCCGAAAAGCAGACTCAAGCAGGAAACCGCCACTCGTGCTCAATGTGCAGCAGATGACATGGGATTCTAAAATGATGATATTCTGTGTTTTCTGTGGGCGTCCTTGAACCTTGGGCAACAAATACAGATTAATCAGTATTCAGTTGTATATAAATTCTCAACTGTGATAGGCCTGTTTTTACTGTAAAACACCCGCTGTTTATTACGTGACAGAATAATAGTAAATGTTAAGGGAGAACCTCAAATCTAGAAAAGAGCAGTAACATTCAAGATAATCAAAACCACCAAAAAGAACACTGCTTTGCAGTATAGTCTAAGCTTAGAATATAATTTAAGCACACAAAGAACAATTTATTCGGGGTTTGATTTGGTCAAAGTAGATTATAATTCTTACAACCAGATAGATGTATGTTGGCAGGTATCAGGATAAGTACAGATTCAATCATTCTACTCAGCTGTGAAGCAATTATTTGAGTAAAACCAAGGTCAGAACTAAACTTGAATGTATGTTTTTCTGTTAGCTTTAAAAATGTTCTTTTTGGGCTGGCCGAGTGGCGCATTGGTTAAGAGCTGGCTTGGGATGCCAGAGGGCCCCGGTTCGGATCCCACATATGAGGGCCAGTGACACTGCCCTCTACA